TGCCGCAGCCGCCGCAGGTCGCACGGCGTCGAGGGCACCGCCACGCCCGGCTCCATCCACTGCGGCCGGTAGAAGCGCTCCAGCGCGCCCGCGCCCGCGCCGCAGTCGAAGAAGAAGCTGTGCCCCGGCGGGAACTCCCGCACCCGCACGCAGTCCCGCTGCAGCGCCTTCACCTCCGACGCGAACCAGATCGCGCCGTTCGCCGCGTGGCCCACGTACAGCGGCGAGATCCCGATCGGGTCCCGCGCCGCCAGGAAGTCCCCGCTCGCGCGGTCCACCACCACCAGCGCGAAGTCCCCGTCCAGCATCGCCGGAAAGCTGCGCCCGAAGTGCTTGAACAGCGACGGGATCACCTGGCAGTCCGACTTCGTCGGCAGCTGCTGCGACTCCCGCGCCGGCAGCCGCGCCCGCAGCTCCTCGTGGTTGTATATCTCCCCGTTCGCCACGCACACGCACCGCCGCTCCGGGTCGTTCAGCGGCTGCTTCCCCGAAGTCGGGTCCACGATCGACAGCCGCTCGTGCGCCAGCGCGTGGATCCGCTCCCCCCCGAAACTTATCACGTCCACCCCGTTCCAGTCCGGGCCCCGGTGCCGCAGCAGCTTCGAACGCGACAGACACAGCTGCCGCAGCGCGCTCGCGCTCAGCGGCGAAAGCATCACCGCAGTCACTCCGCACATCTTCCGCACCCTCCCGCCCGCGCTACCACCGCCAACGCCCGCTATCCCTTTCCGCTCGCGCCGCAGACCTATGCCACGCCCAAAAACTCCCTTCGCATTTTTCGGCGCCCCTAACTCCCCTGCCAGCCTCCTGCGCGCCCCACCCGCCCGCTTCCTCCCGCCAACGTCCACCGGACCAACGCACTGCCCAACCCGACCCGACGCCAACCACACCCCCACGTCTCGACCCAGATTTCACCTTTTTCCTCCCGCGACGCAGTTTAATGCCTCAAACTACAAGCTCAACTCGCAGAACGCTGCCCACTGCCCTCCTGCTTTCCTATCGCCGCCCTACACCACGCAGGGCTGGCGGGCATCCCAGCCGCGCGCCGGGTTCTGCTGTGCTGTGCCGCCGCCACCCCGTCATTGCCTTCCCTGTCTGCCCACGCGGCCCCAACTACCCACATTTTCCCTTCCAAACACAAATTTAACAACTTACGAACCCGCCTCTTATTCCTCTCCGCGCCTCCGCTTTGCCCCGGCCTCCCCCGATTTGAACGCCCTACCCAGCAGGGCCGCGCCAACGCTTCGATAGGCCATCCTGAGGTTACGGCTTTCCCTACCTCACGCCACCTATAACGCCCTACGCGCCCCCTAACAGCTTCCTAATAGGTTCGCTACCATTTTAGTCTTATTAATGCAAAGGTTGCAGTTTCCCGGCCAACAGTTGCGGGCCGCCATTCCGCGCCTCTGCAGCTCCGCACCGTTCACAAAGCAACAGACCAGCAGAACCACCCACTGCTGCTTCGCGCACGCAGCTCGAATAAAACCGCCCAAGCATTTCTAAATAAAAAGAAACTGCTGTAGACCTAGTGTAGATTTTAAACGGCAAGCGCTTCCCGCCCCTCGGGCCGCCGCGCGGGACCACTCAGTCGCCGCAGCTGCGGGGCATTTCGACAAGTTTTCACAAGCACTTAGAAAATGCAGAGCCCAGAGGCCCTGCGTTCGGCGCAGCGCGTCAATTAAACATTATTTAGCGGAATCCGACACCACGGCTCCCCGGGTCCTTCCACACGAGGACCTCCCGCACACGGCCAGGGGCCGGGGGCCTCCCCGGAGGCGGAAGCAGCACGGGGGCGCCCCCGGGGCCCCGGAGAGGCCCCTGGGAGCCCCCCGCGCACCAATTTCTGCACAGGGGGGCCCCCGGGGCCCTCAGAGGCCCCCGTGCATGAACAGCTCCTGGGGGTGGCCGCTGAAGCCCGGGGCTGCGGCCCAGGCGGCGTCGCTGAGTTCGTCAGCCTCTGCGAACTCGTGGGCTGGCGGACGCGCCGCTGCAGCAGCTGCAGCGTGCGGGAAGGGCCGGGGGTACTGCCTATAGCCGAGGAGGGGTGAGCCCCCCTCGAGCAGCTCTGGATAGCCGTAGGGGCCCCGCGGGCCGTGGCGGCCGTAGTACCCAGGGGGGCCCCCCCCGGGGCCGTGCAGCCACAGGCGCGGGGCCTGGCGAGCTGGGGGCCCGCCCAGGAGCCTGCCGGGCCTGCGAATAAGTGCAGAGAGGGGCTGGTGGTACTCAGCGTAAGACTGGGCCTCCCCCTCAGCCCTTAAGAAGTCCCCCTCTGAAGAACTCTCAGAGTCCATCTCCAGGTCCGACGCGAGGCCCCCGAAACGCCCCTTGGCCACGGCGAGGCCCCCGGGGCCCCCGGGGGCCCCCCGCGGCTGCAGCTGCCGCTTGGCGATGTGCTGCGCCAGCAGGATGGCCAGGATCGAAGGCGGGATCGCCAGGATCAGCGCTGCAGCCCAAGTCAGGCCTTCCTCCCCCCTCACCTCGTCGCTGCTGCTGTCTTCCTGCAGCGCAGCAACACACGCGCCGGCTTTTTATATTAACAAATTTATTTGCAAATAAGTAAAGAGCTTCACCCGCAGCCTGCGCGAAACGCGCAAAAGCCACGCGCATGCACGAAATGCTGCCTCGCGCCAACGCATGCAGCCAACTGAAATTCAAGTTTCGCAGCCCGAAACGAAGCTGAGGGAGATTTTGTGTGTGAACTCGTGCATGCGTGTTGGAGCCAGAGAACGTGAAGAGAGTGAAGTGTGTGCGGGGGCCAGCTGGCCCGACAAGCAGCGAGAGCAACTTGAATTGCTGAGAGGTTTCCCCCATGTTGCACTCCTGTTTTCCCAAAATGACTCACCAGGGAGGCGTGCTTCTTGTGAACTTGCGTCAACATGTTTTCGTAAGACACGGCGAGGGCCGTGGGGTCAAGTCGGGCGTCGTTCAGAGTTGAATATTGCATGGCGTGGTTCTTCTGCTGCTTCAGCAGGGCGTTCAAGAGCTGCATGGTGCGCACGACTTGCATTTTTTCTTGGTGACTAGGGCTTTTTTTCTTTTTTATTTTCGTTTTGCCTCTGCTTTCTCCAATTTGCGCGGCGAATTCGCCGCCGCTGGCGTCCGAGTCGCTGCTGTCGTCCTCGGAGTCGTTCCATTCAGGTCTTGCCCTGTAGCTGTTTCGGGTGAATCCGGAGGTCGCGCGGCTGCAGCTGCTCTCTCTCTTCGCGAATATTTTCGGTCTTTTTATTTTTACGGAGTTCAAATGGCGTTTTTTGTCTCGAGGAGGTTCGTGGCTGCCGCCTCTTTCCTCCGCGTGACGCCTTGTGTAGCTTGCTGCTTCCTGCGGACTTGAACTTTCTGCGCTGTCCTCGCTGAAGGCCCTCTTCATCTTTCTCGACTCTTCATATTTCGTTCTTTTACTAACTTCGGCTTTGCGGCTGCCTTTCCTAGGCTCTTTGCTGGGCTCTGGCCCGCCGCGGGCGGGGAGGGAAGCAACAGCAGCAGCAGCAGCTGCTGCTGCAGCAGCAGCAGATACGGGAGAGGTCTTTGGCTGCTGCAGCTCTTCTCCCACCTCCCTAGCTGGCGCTTCTGCCCAAAAAAAAATCAGCAGCAGCAGCGAGAAGCTGCGCCTGTGCAGTGTACAGACTCTCGGGGCAACTGGCCTCCACTTGACCTGCAAAAGCTCCTCACTTTTGCAACATTGAATTAATCTGCTTTCTTACCTTCAGAGGCTTTCTGCTGCAGCGCAGCTGCGGGCTCTTCCAGCGCGGGGGTGTCCTTAGCCGCGTGGGCTCTGCAGCGCCTCGCAGCAGCGCAGCAGCAGCTGCGTCACTAGTGCAGCACTTGTGTGGCTTTTGAGGATCTTCAGTCTGATAAACTTCATTAATTTGTTTTATTTTCTGTTTCATTTTTAGTTTTTGAAATACTCACAAGAGAAGCTGCTGCACCTACTTGGGAGCGCAAGGGGCCTCAAGAGGACTCTGTTGGGGAGGCGGAGGCGGCGAGGCCTGCGGCGTCGCAACACACAGCTGCCTCACTGTCGCGCTGCAGCTGCTGCACCAGCAGCAGCAGCTGCTGCTGCTGCAGTCGTTGCTGCTGCTGCTGCTGCTGCGGAAGCAACTCGGAATGCGCCGCGGGAGAAACAAAACCCACCGCAACTGCAGCGCTTCCAGGCCCCGCCTTCTCCCCCTCTGCTGCTGCTGCTGCTGCCGCTGCTGCTGCTGCTGCTGCTCCCTGGTTAGCTGAGGCGCGGGCAAGCAAGAGGACGCCCACAGCGAGAGTGCGGCTGAGTCTCATAACGGGCGAACATCGACGGCTGTCGACGCAGTCGGCCGCGGTGTCTTCGCAGCTGGGACATAAATTCAAAGACCTTGAGGCATAAATTAAATTCAAAAGTCTTTAAGAAAGGGAAAGGCGGAAGCAGCAGCAGCGGGTCCTTCACTTGCTGCCCGTAGGCGCTTCCCCGGGAAGCAGCTGCAGTTGCAGCAGCAGGGTCACAGTGCCTGCAGCCACCGGTGGCCCAGTCGCTGCTAATGCAGAGCTAAACAAAGTTCCTCTTCATTAATATTTTGCAAAATTAACCAATAGAAACTTTCAGCAGCTGAAATCGTGCATGTGCCGCGGCAGATCGCACCGGTGGCGCTCCGTGCTGGCCAACGGCGCGGAAGCCGCGGCGCAGCGCTTAGTGGAAAGCTGCAGCAGCTGCTCCCAATTTCTGCACAATTTTCCCTTTGGAGTTTCAAAACACCAAATTAAGCAAATTAGGAAATCCAGCGGTTTTGGCTCCGCTCAGCGGAGGGGCGCAGGGGAAGGAGCGGAGCTGCACGACGGTCTGGACGCTGTAGTGTTCACGCCAGAGTCTACTGGCCCGCGGCACTTGAAACTGGCGAAATCGCAAACATTTGGGGATACTTTGACCTATTTGCAACAATTATTCAAACTAAAAACGGGCTGCTGCTCCAGTCTTCCCGGCAGACAGCAGCAGCCGGGGCCTCGACCGACTCGGGGAGAAACTAAGCTGCAAGTGGGGCTCGCGGCCCTGCACGAAAGCCCCACTGCCCCAATTTGCTTTCTATGAACTCATAATGCACTTTTGAGTGTGAAACTTGAAAAAAGGAATTAGGTTTCCGAAAGCAAGTAGCCGATGAAGCACCGTCGCCACCGTGCAGTGGGGTGAGTCACCGCAGCGCGCGCTGCCCACTGGGAACGAGAAACCAAGGCGTGTCTCCCTAAAATTTCTTTGCGCGAAATGAATAAAATAATGTGTTTAGCTCAGACTTCATTGGAAGCCGGCAGTAGAACTCTCGAACCCTGCACAGCACGGTTCAGGCCGGCCGCCTGGCGCGGGCGCTCGAGAGGGTCCAGTTCGAGGACTAAACGCGAAGTTGTTTTATTTTGCAACACTAAATAACAAAAAAAAGAATTAATTTGTAAACTCTGTCGCAACTTGGACGACTTTCTCGCCAAATTTCGTCAAAGGGCGCCGTCGCGCCTCCACTGGGAGACACTTTGTGCAAGTCCACAGACACAGTGCCGCTTCCCGCACTGCGCCCTCCAGCCTTTACCTGGCGATTGCCTGTGCTTTAGGGTTTAGGGTTTAGGGGGCGTTGGGTTGGGGAGGAGTGTTGAGTTCGTGGGCTGCGAGGGCACTATTGCACGTTTTGCTGCGGTGCTGCTAGGGGAGAGCCGCACGGCGTTAGCCGCGTTTGCTGCGCATGCATTGGGGGGGTGCGTCAGGGCTCAGCTGTCTGTACACCCCGCGTCCCGGCACTGAGGAAGTCGGCAGTGGAAAGTCCTTCAACGCGGCTCAAAACATTCATGAGGCGTTCCACATTTGCATTAGCAGTTTCGGGGTCTTCCTGTGGCCACTGTGCTTCAGGTGCCTCCCCCTCACTGGCTTCCCTCCCCTGCAGCTGCCTCTGGCGCTTGCGCACCTCGTGCTGCTGCTGCAGCGCGTCCTGGTGCAGCGCGTCCTGGTGCAGCGCGTCCTGGTGCAGCGCGTCCTGGCGCAGCACGTCCTGGTGCAGCACCTGCTGCTGCTGCTGGTGCTGGTGCTGGTGGTGGTGCTGGTGCTGCTGCGGGTGGTGCTGGACCTGGACGTGGGCGGCGGCAGCCCAGTAGTTTTGCCAGGCTGCGCAGTAGCTGTGGAGGGCCTGGGCGGCGAGGCGCTCGTGCGGACGCGGCGGGGGCGCGCCGAGTTCCCTGCGGGGCTTGGGGTTTCTGGGGGGGTCCTGGAAGAGGGGGCCCCGCTTGGGGGCCTCCTGGTGGGCCCACTTGACGGTGAGGAGCGGCGCGAAGGGCCCGCAGGGCTGGTCCGCCATGGCCACCTTCGCGAACTCCGCCTGGACCCTGTAGGCGAAGGTGACGAAGGCGATGAGCTTCTTGGGGACCACGCGGAGGCTCTCGAGGTCGCCCCAGACGGCGAAGGCCCCCCACAGGAACTCCTCCAACTCCCGAAGCCCCGCGGAGGCCCCGGCCGGCAGCCGCAGGCCCCCCACGAACAGCGTCCTGCACTCCGCCGCGAAGCTCCCCACCCCGCCCATGTCCTCGCGGTGCTCGCGGTGGCGCTCGCGGCCAAACACGTCGCGGCTCCACTCCAGCTCGCCCTCGTCCGCCCGCGTCGGCAGCCGGTGTTTGAACCTGCACGCGGCGCCTTTGCTGCAGCAGCCCCGCGCGAAGAAGGCGCAGAAGAAGCCCTCCGCGGCCCCGGGCTGCGTGTCCGCGAGCGTGTAGCCCGCGTCCCGCGCGGGGTCGCAGCGGTGGGCCGCGGCCTCCCGCTCGGGCGCGGGGGCCCCCCGGGGGGCCCCCGGGCCCGGGGGCCGCGCGGGC